GAACCAGGGACCTCACCCAGCCTCAGATTTTCTGTTTGCCCCCGCTTCGACTGTGATTTCATCACCTTGCCATCTGATCCTCCTGGGTGATTTTGATTAATTCTCAATGATGGGAAAGCTCACACTTAGTTCTGATGCCCGAGGACACCCCAGTGCTACGACTGATTTATGGGGGTTGTTGTTAGAAAGACAAACAACTACTTGAAAACGGCCAGAGAGCTAGTGATCTGCACAATAGTCCTTGGTGACCTCAGAAAGTGGATGAGGGTTTCAGTTCTTACACTCGGGGTTGAATTACCACCCCAAAAATAGGCAGAGAGATTTCCTCTCATGATGTCAGGTGGATGGATGAGCCGTGTTTCTACAGGAAGCAAGTCATTGTGGTCTTCGCTTCCCCTCCCTTCACTTAACCAAGGAAAGAAAAAAAAGAAGAAGAAAAAGAAAAGAAATATTAGTACCGGGGCATCTTCCCCTATCTTTCCAGAATTTACCTGCTGGTTTCTCTGTCATTTCTACAGACTTTTTTTTTTTTTTTTTTTTTTTTTTTTGGTAGAACAAGTCTGGCTTTGTTAGACCTGGCTCACTCAGTCCCTACTCAAATTTAAGAAAAGTTTCATCACCTGCAACTTCTTCGAATTCACCACGTTTCTTACCTCCAAATACTCTGCCACCTGCCCATAAAATGAAGAAAAGCTGCCTCAACAAGCCTCTGTGACATTTAGGATCATGACCTGAATGTTAAGAATATGTGTAGCTACCTATCAAAAGAATTTACAACTTACATAAGGGATCTAAATTTATAAAAACACATTGAGAGACAGTATTTAAAATTATTATATGTTTCCTTTCATTGGAGGTCTTCAGCTTTAAGCTCCAAAAAGACAAAATTCCAAGAACCCACATTTAGACTGTGCTCTGGGTAAGGTGATTAGAGTCTGGCTCTCATGTCCTCAGAACCTGAAAGAATCAGGGGATTTACAGTGAGTGAAGACATAAACCAATTCAAACCTAACAGAAACGCAATGAAGAAAAATATTTCTGAAGCCTGGGCAATTTTCAAAAAATAAAAATTACTTCGAAAAAAAAAAAGAAAGAAAACACAGGAATCCACAAAGTACATTTCATCTAAAGAATGACTTTAGGGGCGCCTGGGTGGCTCAGTTGGTTAAGCGACTGCCTTCAGCTCAGGTCATGATCCTGGAGTCCCGGGATCGAGTCCCGCATCAGGCTCCCTGCTCAGCAGGGAGTCTGCTTCTCCCTCTGACCCTCCTCCCTCTCATGCTCTCTGTCTCTCATTCTCTCTGTCTCAAATAAATAAATAAAATCTTTAAAAAAATAAAAATAAATAAACAAAGAATGACTTTAGTTTTGTCAGTCATCTTTAGACTTGACTAATCTAGAACAAGAGAAATGATTCTAAGTGCAGAGGAGTGAGAATGCACTTTTTATTTGAGCAGCTCATTATTCTGTGTGACTTCCTGCCTGCTGACTGGGCCTTTTCCCCAACTACCATAACTGCTGGGCCCAGTGAGAGCCCAGTCTTACACTATAGGCCAAGTCTCATGCTAATTCACTGTGATAACCCTACGAGTCCATGAGGTGGTAGAAGGATTCCAAACAATGAGGAGAGAAGGGAAAGAGCATTCTGAGGCTGGGAAGTGAAGTGGCCACAAGCTGTGGAGGTGGAAAGGGAAGCGGAATGGATGAGGAGGGCTCTTATAGAAAGTTAACGGGAGCTGGCTTTGGGAAAGTGGTTGGAAGTCAGATTCCAGGGCTCCTTTACTGCTCACCCAGGAGCAGCTGTGTCCTCGGGTAGGCAGGAACTACAGACCAGAGCTTTGATAAAAACCCCTGGGATAAACGAGGTGATTTGGTTCTCTCACTTGCCGAACTATCAGTACTGAGAATCTACCGTCATCATTATGGTCACACCTACCATTATAAAAACAACAGTTTTTAGCACACACACCTCCACATGCCTCTCCTATGAAAGGAACAGAGAAAGAGAAAGTTTTTCTTGTTTTTTATTTAGTCAGTCAGTCAACCCATTACCAAGCCTGGTTTGTGGCCGGTGGGGGTGGGTCTGTGAGAGGTGCTGAGTCATGGCTGAGAGCCCAGCCCAGCTCCTGCCTCCCTGGGGACACAGCTCACTGGAGCCAGCCAGGCCTGGAGCGGGCCCAGGGTGCCGAGCCAGCATACGCAGGTCTCCACCTCAGCCCAGGTCAAGAGAGAGTTCCTCCTTGCCGCAGATACACTGTCACCCATGCCAGCCAAGCCTGCAGCTCCCTCAGCCCCCCTTCGCGGCCAACCCACCCCAGAAACATGATATATGCAGGCACGACAAAGCAGAGAAAGGGAAATCCTATAAAACTCACACAAAAAGAGATCGAGTGTTCCTGTCCAAGAAACAAAACAAAAAAAATTTTTTAATTTTTTTTTGTAAAATGAATGATTGCTGGAGAATAAAATACCTAAGTTTCCTGGGGTTTTGTTGTTGTTGTTGTTGTTTTTAGTAACTAGTAAGTATAAACTAACCTGAATACTAAAAATACTGCATAAGTGCTTACAGTTCCTGTGCTGAGTGTGGAAAAAATGATTTCTGGAAGAGACCATCGAGGTGGGTTGGTTGAGTAGAAAATAATACTATTGCAACTTTTTTTTTATTATTATTATTTTTGCCTCGACTAAGCTTAGTATATTACAAATATAAATATAATATAAATATTCTAAGTAAATATAATATAAAGAGAGAAGGTCTTAAAAGATGCCATCTGGGTCACTAAATGTTAATACCTACAGAATACAAAGAAATGTCTTGCCTCAATTTTAAGTAATTATCCTGCTTTTACCTCATGTGTCTACTATCTTATTAAGCCTGCGTGAAATGCGTAATTCAAGCCAGCTTTCTTTGCCCACATTGCCAGGAAGAGCTCACAGCCAGGCCCTGTGAGCCCCTGAGGGCAGACACAGGGCCTGCTCACCTTTCCCACCCCATTCCCTGCGCAGCACCTGCTCTGTGGCCTGCAGTTCACAATCACCCAGTCAGTCACAGAGGAATGTCCGAATCACATCAACTTCAGTCACATTGCAAGGGAAGAGTAGGCAGCTCCCAGGTACCACTGCTTCTAGCCAATGCTTTAGATTAGTCTCCTTGGGATTACTTTATCCCACTTGCTGATTGGCCCCCCAAATTCCAGTCTCAACCCCCTCCAGTCCCCACCCCACTAACATACCAGAGCAATATCCCTGTTATGCCATCATCTATCATCTTCAGAATAAAATCCAGATTTCCTTACACACTGTAGACAATCTTTTCTTTTCTTTTTTTTTTTAAGATTTTATTCATTTATTTGAGAGAGACAGAGACAGAGACAGGAAGAGAGCACAAGTAGGGAGGAGAGGGACAAGCAGGCTTCCTGCTGAGCAGGGAGCCCAATGCTGGGTTTGATCCCAGGACCCTGAGATTATGACCTGAGCCGAAGGCAGATGCTTACCTGATTGAGCCACCCAGGCACCCGAGAATCTTTTCTGTCCACAGAGGACAGGCTTACAGTAGTAATGCTCCCAGGTGAGAAACCACGTTGAATAAGGTGTAAGGGAGGATGTGTAAAGTATCCCTCCTGTACACAAGTCTTCATAGTTCAGGAAAGGTGTGAACATCAAGAACATACTGAGCAGGTCCCCAATAACTGCTCAGACCTGGGGGATCCTGGTCATGGTGGCAGGAGAAAGGGAGCAGAAAAAGGAGACGGGGGACACAGTGCACCTGGGGCCACATTGCCATGCAAGGCTGTGGGCTTGCTGGTCACAGAGAAGAGGCTATATACCAGGGGACTTTGCTGCCTTCTTCCATCGTTCCTCCTGAAATGGATTCACAGACGGTTACAACTGACGTGGAGCAATAGCAAAGCGACTGGCAGGAAACCCAAGCCATGGCTCCCATCAGACTTCACAGGGCCCTGACCTCTTGGTCGATGGCTACCACACAAACCACATGAACAGGAACACATTCTGTTTTTTGTGAAGACTTGCAAAATAGCCAGCCTCTTCTCAAAATATCCATTCTCCTCTTCACGCTGCTGTCCCTTCCTGACAGAGAGAAGCAGAAAGGCCAGCTCAGACGCTACAGATGTATTTCACTCAGCAAGGCCCTCAGCTGCTTCTGCTTTCTCCACCTCATGACTCACATTTGTTGCAGGTCTTGTCTCTTCTCATTTGCACGCTGTCCGTTCCTAAACCTGATGAAAGCACAACAACACCTCTAAGTACCCATTTGTTGAACACACGTAGACATCGGTTTGAAGGATGCTGACACAAAGCTCACGGTGTCAAGTGTGGTGAGGGCCGTTCTGTCATGGCTGTTGGGCTCACAGTCTTGCCTACTCTGAGCAACACAGTGGTAGGTTGCTTGTGTCCTTCTACTGATCTATAACAATAGCAGGCCAGAGAGGGGAATCCATTGTCCTATAACAAATTTCTCCCAAGTAGCAGCTTAAAAATCATGACATTCATTTATCCCAGTGCTGTGGGCCAGGAATCCGGAAGCAGCTTAGCCAGGTGGCTCTGGCTCAGGGTGCCTCATGAAATTGCAGCCAAGACATCAGTCAGAGCAGTGATCGTGTGAAGGCTTGGAAGCATAGAAGGAAAATGTTGCAAGTTCAGGAAATCACGAGTCTCGCGTGGCTTGGGCACATGGTGTTGGGGAGGGGCTTGAGGATCAGGACCTAGGTCCAGATTGCAATGCTTCTCAAATGGCAGACACTGGCTTCTGGTATCCACCCTGTGGTCGGTGGGGAGCCCTTCTGGAACTGGATCACCATACTGCATCTGTAGAAATAACTCACTGGCACTATAGAAACTGGATGGGTTGTGGATTAGATAAGGAAGAAACCAGAAGTCTCTATTGATGTCCTGGGGAGAAATGCTGTGCTTCCCAAGCAGGGCTGAGGAGGATGATACAAAGCATTAGAACTCAGAGAAGGATCTGATGTTGCAGGTGAGGGAAAGAGGATCACTTTAACAAAACAGGCACAATTTGACACACCCATAAAGGCCCAGCACTTTCCTCAGTGTTGGTCAGGGATGGTGTTTCTGGGGCCCAGGACTTTGTCCATCCACCCAGGGAAGGTTGCTACAGGCATATGTCTTTTGCTCATGTCCATGAAGCTTCACGTAGTGGAGTGGCATCTTTGTGATTGCTCAAGCATTTCCTCAAAATGTCCTTAGGAAAGCACATTTCTCTATGGGCAAAATGATTTAAAATTATTAAAGTCAATATTTAACTTGGACCTAGTTAGGAAAGTGGAATTTTCCATGGAGAATCAGAAGTGTCACCAGGATACGGTGAATTGGAACAACAGCCCTGACTCCTGCATTTTGAGAAGACAAGACTGCTGGTCCCAGGGAGTGATTCAGGGCAAGAAAAGGGACAGATTCACCAGTAAGAGCTGTGAGCCAAGAGTTTGGTTAGACAATCATTCTCTAAAGGTCATCCCACCACCACTGGTTCCTCCTGCTTTTACTAAACCCTCCACCCTCCAGCCCAACCCCAGACTTCTCTCTTCCACCTTTGAGATTGCCTTCAGTGTTTGTGATTCCCTTTTTTTGTTCTTACAGGAATAACTGGAGTGTGGAAAACATGCTGTTTTATCTGACCTGTGTCAGACAGCCTTGGACCCTCCTTCACCACCCTCCATCTTCTAAGAGAGTCCTACACAGGCTCTCAGTTCCAGATGAGTCAAGAGACCAGCTTGGTACCATCAAGCCCCCGAGAATGAAGCAAGTCTCTGCCACACTCGATTGCCCCCTCTTTTTACTCGTCTAGCTAAAGTTTCTCAACCCTTACTGATCTTTCCAAAGTATCAACTAATAAGCTAATCATTAGGTTAGCCATTTGAGATCGTTCTTTCTTCTTCATGACTGTGTGTACAGCTAGGATTCTCTGTGAGACTACCCTCACTGGCTCTCAAGGGTTTTGCTATGCTGGATCCATTCCCCTCTTTTAGCCATAAAAGTAATTACACTAACCTGGGCAACCAGAAGTCATGAGGGAATACAAGTGGTCGTGAGCGTGGATTTCCCTAAATTAAACCAATCTAGACAAGATTCATCTACTTATATAAGTGGAGTTCTTCTTCTGCCTAGGAGAAGCCGTTTTTGCTAATGAAACAGTGGTCTAACAAAGAGACTCTTCTGGGTCTTTGACATACTGTGGCACATTTGGGTAGCTCAATATGAAGCATGGGGTAGACTCAAAGTTGTAAGTTTGTGGTAAATGTCTCTGAAGTCAGAGAACATATTTTATAGTGACCAGGAAGAACTGGACCAAGCTTTCTCTTCTATCACCCTGGGCCATTAATCGTTCCAAACACTGTTGCAGGGGCCGGGTCACCAGGATCCTCATCCAAGGCCACCTCTCCACACTGTCCAGCCTCCTCCATCAGCCAGTGTGGAAAACTGGCCACACTTCAGAGGAACGTCCATCACTTTGAGGTCTGGGATCTGGATGATTTAGCAGGTGACCATGAGCCAGCACTAAACAGAATGGGTCTGAATTTCCTAGGGAGACATAAGACTAATGTCCTGGCCTCTTGTGGTTACAAGAGATCCTTCCCAACACAGCACAACTCAGCCCAGGAAATTTCCCAGGTGATTTTAGTTGGATGCAAGTTTGCGCCTCACTTCCAGGCCTCGACTGTTTTGGAATGTTGCTATGCATTATTAAAAGCTGCCACATTTTGTCCAAGAGGTGGCCACATTTCAGTGGCTGGTGAAGTAATTCCTGTTTATATGTGTAGTTGCAAAACGTTTTGGAACCCTCTGGCATGAAAAGCATCTTATAATACATCATTACTTATTTTTAACAATAGTCGGAGAGGGATGGGGGCTTTTTCCCACATACACATACTTTGAAAGGTGATAGTCAACCAGGAACAACTTCTGATGGGTTCTCTGCTTTTATCCAGTTGATTGGAGCACAGCTGGGAATGTCGCTTTAATGGTGAAACAAATCTTAAGGTAATTCTTGGAATGCGTATCTGATGAAACAAGACTGAAAAAAAAAAATGAAGCTGAACAGAATCATCTACATATTTAGTTGCCTAGAACCATAAGAGCCTAGAGAAGAATTTGTGTTCTATTGAGTCACGTAGCCATTGTTGTCATCATGGGCTGGTAAGCCCAAGTAACTATGAAAATCAAATTATTTCTTTCAGAAATCTGGCCAAAAATATATTGCTAAACTGGGCATATTAGTATAAATCAAAAGCTATGTATTACCTAATCATATATCATATTTGGATAGCTCATTTTTTTTTCTGAGGGGATAAAATTATTTCACAGGCAACAGTCCCAGGTATTATTAAAACTCTTTCATAAATGGGAAAACTATAGCAAAGTGAAATTGAGTAATTCACTCATTCTCTCAGCTGAGTCATGGCCTAAGAAACCTAAGAAAAGAAGCCCTTTCCCCTCACTTCCCGTCTCCTTGACCCCTTAAAAGATTGTAGTGCCAGGCAAAATTTCTCCTTAGCTTCATGTTTAGTAAATTCTCAGGTTTAGATCAATTCAAAATTCCATTGTGAAGAAAGAAAAGAAAAGAAAAAAAGAAAAGGATACAAACTAACAAAACAACAAGCAGATGAAGCTTTTGATACAATGCAACTCAAATGATCTGCTAGAAATAAATAGAAAATAGTGTTACAAAAAGAGACATTTCTTTTCCTCGTTAGTGTAAGTCACTTACCTTCCCAATCAGTCTTGACTCTGTGCAAATGCCTGGCTTCTGATTGTCATGAGTTTGGTAAATCTGCAGTCGTTTTCTTCAAAGCATAAAGCATGCAGTCTTTTTTTAATAAAGAAGCATGCTTCTGAAGTTCTTCAAGCCAAGAATAGACACCTATTTTAAAGACTGCTCCATTATCGGGGCTTATGTTTACATCCTCTTTACAAATGCAGTGGAAGGCATTAACCAAAACACATTAGGGCAAAAGCATTTTTCGATGCAATTAAAAACTGGTTCGTTCTGCATATGTCTGATATATCCCTTTCTTATCACATCTGTCTATCTCTTAACCTCATCCACAACTCCAAAAACTGCAACTGGAAAGTTCTCAAACTGAAAACTGGGTGCCCGCCAAGATACAAACTTTATATTTGCTTAGCAAACATCAAAGAGTGAATAATGTGTTGTCATTCCCTGACCTTACAAGAAGGTTGGATATAAAGTAACAGCTTTAGTCACTATGTGCAATGACAGTGCTGAAGAATTTCTCCCTCAGCCTGGATTCTTTCCTTCTTTGTCCAAAAGGGAACAGCTAGGTACGTTGCAGGGGGTAGGTGCTTCGTAGGTCCGCATTATTTCATTACCTAAACAAAGCCATGGTCTAAGGAAGAAGGTGGAAGTTAGAAAGCAGAAAACCAGGTTCGAGTGCTGGCCTCTCTCCTAACCAGCTGTGTGGCCTTGGGTTTGGCACTCCACCTCTCCAACCTTTTCCATCTGTGAGAGAAAGAACAGATGACTTGCAAGGTCTACAAGTCCGGGATTCAAATGCAGCCAGCCAAGGTTTCTTCGTTCCCTGAAGGGGAAATGCCAGGTCCCCTCAGGACAGCACTGCTCCCTGCCTGCCTCCTTTGGTGCTTCAGGACCCTGCGCTCCACTCTGTGAGCCAATCCATTTTCATTGGTTGCAAGGCTCAGTGTCCTCCCTCTGTCGGGATCATGTTTCCCACACTCTTCAGGATGTAGCGTGGCCATCGCCCCGAGAGCAGCACTCCTGACCTCCCTGCTCCCTGGCAGCCTGCCCTCCCCTACTCCTACAGAGACTCCGGGCGTCTCCTGGCTTGTTTGGAGTCCTCCCCTTGGCCGCAAGCCTACTGGTCCCACTGTGCCACAACAGAGCAATGACATGGTGACCACTTTCTCAGGCCTCATCAGGCTTTCACTCACAAGCACCCTCAGAGGTAGGTATGACAGTGAGCATCCCAGACAAGGAAAGTAAAGCAAAGAGAAGACAATGTGTCCAAGGTCTACATGACCAATAAGCACAGAGCTGGAATTTGGATTCAGTAGTGCTCCTGCAAAGGTGGATTCCTACCGTCCACTGCATCTCTGCCAGATGCTCAGTGTGTATGTGTTTTCGGAGCCCTGAACACCGCCAACTACAGCCAAGGGAGACATTCCTTTCTCTGAGCACCAACGCCATCGGGAGGGCTCGCTGATCCCACATGCCTTGACCTGCAGACCCCTGCCACAGAGCTGCCTGCAACCCCCTCAGATGACAAAGAGGCTTACAGACCTCTCTGCCAGCACCAGCATCTTACACGGGGTAGACATGAAGTGACTATTTATTGAATGAATGAAAGCATTATTAGTGAGATTTTAGCATTCCCTTAATTATGGATATGCTGTCATAGGGGAAAACAAGACATATCCTGAAGATAGAGAAAAAGTGCTCATGAGAATGCAACATACTCTACATTAACAAAATAATTTTTTCTGGAAATATCAACATCATGCAAACTAAATTGAAAAACAACCCCGCAACAACAAAATCAGAAATAGAATATTCAAACTGAATACCCAATGGGATGTTACATAGAAAAGAGACAAATAGGCTTAGGGAAACATTTATCCCTGGAGTTTATGGTTACGGCCAGCCTCCAGGAGACAAAAACATTCAGTGTTTACAGACTTTAGCCCGTGGGACTTAAATTCATTGTTCCCAGAGAATTTATCTTTACCTGCTGTCTTCCAGTTGGCTGTTAAGAATTACACTCCAACACGTCCATGCGTCTGGGGCTATGGATGCCTTTGTAAGCCCATCCTCTTTTCGTTTGTACTATTTTGTATGTTTTCTCTCTCTCTCTCTCCCTCTCTCTCTCTCTCTCTTTTTTTTAATTTGGATAACATTTTATTTTTCCAGAGTCAGCTGTGTTCTTCCACCTCATTTTTCCCTCAAGTTCTTACTCAACACAACGACATTGTTTGGAAGTCCTTGTCATATGAAAATTAAAATCTTGACTTACCCATAATTCGTTCTTTCTGTGGCCCTCTGATACACATGTTCTCTGAGTCCCTCACGTGACAGCTTCACTCAAAGGCAGAGACGCCTTTCTGGATTCTCATTGTGATAGATTCACTCCATCAAATCATCACTAAATAGAATCAGCTCTCTTGAAAATATCAGTGTTTTGAGTATTTGTCTTGGTTGAAGATTTTGCAAAACAAGATTGGCCCCTAGTTCATTGACAGCAGGAGCTGAGAATATTAGTCTATTCTCTCTAGTTTTGATACACTTGACAGTTCTGCAACATGGGAAGTTTAAGATGACACTATTAAGCAACACTAGTAAAAATCTGTGTTAGGAAACAAAAGGCGTATCTATTCTCTAAACACGTCTCACATCAAATTCAAATGTTTCCTCTCTTGCCTTGGAGGTCAGATTTGGGTGCTATGATGAGTGCCCTCTCTGGCTACGCTTGGGGATCTCCTTCCCCTGTCCTGCTGCACAAGCTTAGGGCTGGTGTTGTCGGTAAATGAAGAAACGATAGTGGCCACTTCCCAAGCCAAGCAGCCAGGAGACATATGGCAGGCCAGAAAGTCTCAGCTGCTGCTGTGGGAGAGCCCTGCTCAGCCTGTAACCGAAACAAAGCTGATGAGAGAAAGTTAGCAGAACCAGCAGGGCTGTCCTCACTCCATGCTCGGGCTACACTGGTGGCCCGACTCTGGGAAGGATGCGTGATCCTATGACCAGGCCAGTCCCGGGTCTAAGTACCGAGTCATACATAGGACGCCCTCAGAAGAACTGCCTCCAATTTCAGTAAGTCTCCTTCAAACTGAAAGAGCCATTTTGGTAAAAGAAGTTTGCAGTTCACCCAAAAATATTCTGGTGAGATCCACCATGACTTCATTTCAATAATGAGATAACTGAGACTTGAAAGAAATAGAAGGAAATGGATTTTTTTTTTGTTAACCCAGAATCAATATCACATCAGTGAGACCATCGTTGAAGGGCAGGTCAAAGATTTTAATGTTTTCTTTGGTTGTCCATCCCTCCCACTTGAGCCTGGACACAGCTCAGAAAAATAACAGCAATATCAGTCTATGTCATTTGGGAGGAAACCTAAAAACTAATCCCGGAATCAGAATTGGCTTAACGTACCTCCCTGCAGTGGTGTTTAGCATTTAGCATACTTAGGCATGAAAAATGTCCTTGCCTGTATTGATGCCAGAAACAAAGCCGCGATTGCAATGGGCTTGATCCAGGCCGATCCATGCAGCCAGGAGGTGGTAGGAAGGCTGTATCGGGAGTACTGGTACTCAGGCTGGAGTACCGACACCCTTCCATACCGATTAGTAAGCAGCCACCGAGCCACGATCAGAGGGTTTCCCAGGCCCCCTTCCCACAGAGCTGCTCCTCTGGGAAGTCCAAGTCCGCATTAAGGGCCTCCAGAGACTTACCCCAGCACTTCGACCTGCATTTCTATCAAATGGTTGGTGCCATGCTGATCGACAAGCATTTTGCCTTTTACCCCCTGGGCTAGACCTGAACTACTGTGCTCGCATTCACATAGTTCCACAAATGCAGGCAACATCAGCAGCTACACCTCTGGGCAAAGGTGATGTCAGGGTCAAGTTTTCAGAAGAAAAAGCTGTCCAAAGGGAGTATAAGCCTAATGAAGCAGGGACCCCAGTACCCTGCTGATAATAACCCCACGGACTGTAAACAGATTCTGATGCACTATGAGGCAGACATCAGGGAAGAAGCTACCATAGGTCTGACGTAAAGCCAACATGTAAAAACACTGACAATAAAAAATAAAAACAATTTTGTTTGGTTTGGCATTATCCAAAATGAAACTGGTGGTAATGTTCGGGTGGCTTGGAAATTTAAAATGAACCAGGGTGGACTTGGGAGTTTTGTTTATTGTAAACTTTTTGGCAACAGCAGCATTCAAAATCATTTATTCCATCTTAGATTGGGCCAAATTTCTATAATAGAGAAATGATCAATGTAAGTTATTAAAGATGATGATGATGATGATGATGACAATAATGATGGTCTTTGTCCTAATAAGCATGAAAGTTAACCCAACATTTTCCCCCTTTATCATTCCATTACCTCTTACCTACCTCCTATAATCAAAACAGTACATATTGTATGATTGTACACAACAGTCAAAAAATGGTCCCTGAGAACAAGAATGTTGCTTTGACATTGTTGACAGCTATCAGATAATCATTAGAAATATAGAAAAACATAAATGGTTATTAGAAAACACTTTTTAAGTGGGGCTGGAAAACAGCTCTTACAGAAATCCTAAGATCAGCTTACAACCGTATCACTGATTACTCATGCTTATTTTCTTGGCAGAAATGATAGGACAAACATGTATTAACTATACAACGTCCCCCTGTTGGTGGCAATGTCACAGCTTGTCCTTTCGGAGCCGTGAGCAGAGATGACCGGTGATGCTAGCCGGCAGGTGCTGGAAACCTCGTGGGGCCCAAGCACATTTCTGTTGGTGGGGGGGGCAGCAGCCGGAGTTGGAGCAACCACAGCTGGAGCAGACCATGGCTAGCGCAGAGGGCATCTTCATCTCCATAAAACCCGATGAAGCCCGGTGGGGCCTCATGGGAAAGATCATCAAGCATTTTCAGCAGAAGCGATCCCACCATGTTGGTTTGAAATTCATGCAGAGGTCTGAAGACTTTCTCAAAGAACACTACATTGACCTGAAGGACCATCCGTTTTCTGCCGGTCTGGTAGAACACATGCGCACAGGGCCAAGGGTTGTCATGGTGTGGGAGAGACTGCACGTTGTGAAGACAAGTCAAGTGATGCTCCAGGAGACCCACCTGCCATGGGCATGTTTGCATCCATGCTGACAGGATCACTATTCATGGCAGCGATTCTTGGAGAATGCAGAGGAGATGGGCTTGCAGTCCCTGCGCAGTGCTATGTGTTATCAACAGAGTAAAATGGTTATCCCAATGCCAAAGAAAAAGTAAAT